AGCGGCCTCGATGATAAAGGTTGAAGGAAATTTGCCTTTTAAGAAGTGATGTTCGGTTCCAAAATAAACAGCAATTATTGTGTTTTATATGCTCTTTAAAGTACAGCCTGTAGATTAGGTATTTGCATGGTATTTCTCTGAAAATGTTGGTATGAGATCTGTTTTTAGTACTTGGGTACTTTTGCTCAAGGATGTGAGAGCGTAGCAAGTGAAAAAAGTTTGGACTTCAGTTTCTAGTTTAACTTCAGAGAATAAAATCAGTTGTGCCTAAGCTGTATGGAAATCAAAAGTGGACATGTTACTTCACAGGTTTATTCCTCATAAATCTGAGATGCAGGGGATGGAGGTCTGCAGCCTCGTTTCCAGCGTCGCCCAGAACTGCGGCTAGGCCTTCCTTTCTGTTTAGTCAAAGTCTGAAGATATAATACGCTAAAGTAACAGACATACAGAGAGAATGAAATTAATGTTTGCTTAATGATTGAAAAGTTCAACGCTATACATGGGTGGGTTTTTTTGGAGGGGAGGAAGGGGTTCAGTATGACGTCTGTCGTCTTAGATCCGCTCAGCTCTTTCAGGATCAGGAGTGAAGAACCGGCCGCAAGCTAAGTGCGGCGAGCGTCCCAGTTTTGCTCCCCTTGGAGCAAGGGAGCTGGTGCTCGGTTTAGGGAATCCGAGTTACTGATGGTGCTGCCTTCTGAGCCTTTGAAACTTTTTGTAGTCTATAGCATGGGAGGATGCCAATTTGCCTAGTCCAATGAGCAAAGACCTTTTTGCAAACATTTGTGTTTTATTTTTGGCTTATTGAAACAGTAAGACTCTCAAATTATGAGAGGCTACTTAAGAGCAAAAGGTGCTACCTGGCGCTTGCCCAGGGTGTTGGGCTCAGTGTGGATCGTGTATGTTCTGCCAGCAGTGACAGTGATAAGTTAGCTCCCTGGTGACTGCTCACAACCTGATACTGCCCAAAATGCAGAGGCGAGAGTGTGTTGGACTTGAGAGCAGCAGGGACTAGACTTTTTCTCCTTCCTGTACAAAGCTATTTTGTTAATATTTCTCAAGTTCTGGGTTTCTTGTCGATTCTGTGACACAGATGAGTGCTACTGCCTCCAAGCTCAGCTGGCACAGTTCTTGCTTTCTTGCTAGTCCTGTTGCGTTTTTCCCATATCTGGCTGTCATCCAGGTTCTCTGTTCACCTGTTATCTTCCTTGTTCATTTTTTCTTCACTCAGTGGCCATCTATTGCTTTATTTTCCCCTGTGGTTTAGCTTCTTATCTTGCAATATAATTCCCATCTTTCCCCATCCCCTTGTGTTTTGTGGTGACAACTGGTTTTTCATTTGCTTGTTGCGGGGCTACTCCTGAGCTGTTTGTCATCGCAAGAAGGGTACTCTGATAGTTGATCTTTCATTCTCAGGCTAAGTGACACTTCAGGGGGACTCTTCATCTTTCTGAACTTTCTTGAACACCTCTTTTATAGATGAAACAGCAAATGAATGGTTGCTCCCCTGGTTTTTCTGTAGGGGAAATCACTGGAATACCTTAGTTTATCCTGGATTCTATAGGACCTGCTTCAAGGTGGATATAATGTTTTTCTTGATTGCTGTGCTTCCTTATACGCACATCTTTGCATGTGTCTCTGCTTCATTCAGATTCCTTGCTTTTCTTTTGTTAAATCTTAAATCTAGAACTGTTGCAGAAGAATTCTCTGTGATCATTGTTCCTTTTGTTCACTGAAATCCAATATGCTAGTGAGTTGATTGATTTAGTAGTCTACTAAAGATTATTTAAACTGCAAGCATGAAGTTGAAAGTTTTGTAAGTCTCCTATTGCTATTTCTAAGCTATAAGGAAAAAGTATAATGAATTCCAGGCTCGTGTTTTAGAGTGTGGTTTATAGTTTGATCACCTTGATACAAGCAAATTGCCATCTTTCCTGATCAAAAATTTCACATTTGCGAATCCCCTTTGCTTTGACCTCCCTAGATTACCCCAATCTGTTTTTTTTTTTTTTGAACTTATTTCATATGGATGAAAGATATCTAAAGAAACCCACCACAGAAAAAAACAAAACGTGAAACTAGGTAAGAGAAGACTGAGGAATTCAGAAGGAGGAGAATTGTCAAAGATGTCTCATTAGATGGCTCAAAGAGGGAAGTTGAGGATCTCCTTCTCAACATTTCTTGCCATGTTGCCCCAGGGTCCTTTAAACTCGGAGTCATGTCTTGATACAGGTGAGCAGACTCATTCGAAACATGTCTTGAGGAGAATGCAGTTAGGGTGTTTTTGTCAATACTGTCCTAATCTTTCCCTCCCTTCCACAACTTTGGGGAAGGGCAGGTTTTTCCCCCTTCCTGCTTCGGGGGTGGGTCTGCCCTGCAAGGAGCCTCTGCCAGCATGGTTTCGGTCCCAGCGTGCAACGTAGCTCCTGCTACCGGTGCCCAGCTAGTGTGGTAAGGATTTGGAGGAGGCACGGTTGCTGTAGCGAGGCACGTATTTGTTAACCTGAGTTTGCCGCTGGTTCCTTGTCTGTAACATGTTTTTGATGCATTTTTCCAGTGGTTTTTCCATGGACTGTTAAATGTGGTGGGGTGAGTGTTTTTTTGTTTTGCTGCTGCTGTTCGTCTTCTCTTTGCTATGAAATGCCCCAAGGAAGATATTTTTGAGCTTTTAACAATGGTGCTGATGATCTTTGTGGTTTTTTTTAAGTGTTGCGAGTAGATTCATGATAAATGGAGCAATTGCAAGCATTTGCTTTATAGCAAATGTATTCAAGGTAGTTGAATCACTGTTTCAAGACAGAGATCCTTGTACTGAAGCTGCATCCATCCAACTGCATCCAGCAGCTTCAGTGCCGTTTTTGTTTCCTGTTGGAGAGAGGAGATGCTGCACCATATGTACTGTAGCAAATCAGCTAACCTTTCCAAAACCAGATTCAGATTGGTTTACTGTGGCTTAATTATGGAGCACAGTGATTGCCACGCTATAGAAATTTGTCCCAACGGAGTTGGGTAAAATTCATGCTGCAACATTTTTCTTTCACTGGGCACATGAGTTATCTTATTGTGTTATTACTAGTCATGTTTAACTTCATGCTTTGATTTTAATTATTAATTCCCATTCATTTTAATGGTGTCAGCTGTGCAGTATGAGTTACTATGTGGTATAGTTCAATAGAAAACATGAGTGTCATATTACATTATATTACAATGCATGTTACATTAAAAAATCTTCTGCATGTACTCACAAAAAGGCATGTATTTTGTTTAATTTGTTTTGTCCCACTTGAACTACCTTCCAGCTATTCATCCCCCTTGCCTCCTTTTTTTTTTTGTACTGCCCTTCTGTTTGGTATATAGCCAAAGACCAAAGTCTTTTGTATAGCCTCAGTGATGCTTGTTTTAGTTTAAGTTCTAAATTAATGCAATTTTTGCAACAGTAAAAACAAAAAATGTATCTGGAGGGATAATGTCTATCTTCAGTTTCTCAGATAACTTTTTTAAAAGGATTGAGGAAAAAATTCTTCAGGAACTTCACAAATGTCATAATTATTCAGCTAGATCTTTAAAGGGTTTAGCATTCATTGTTACAAGATGAAAGCTTTGGTAGGTTGAAAATAGTCATTTGTAACCATAACTTTTTTCTTATTGTAGTGCCCACCCACACATTCACCCATGCACTTCAGCCTCAGAATGATTTCCTATCCTGAGTTCATGGGAATTATGAACAAGGGCGGCTGTTTCCATGTGATAGCCATTGTAAAGACCCCCAAAAAAAAAAAAAAGTGGGTTGGAGAGGAACAGTTGCATTGATTTCATATTCTTCTGATCGAAAGCTTTGGGCAAATAATAGCGCTTAAATTTGGAGTGCTGCAAATTTTGCATGGTTTGTTACTTTCAGTGTTTTGCTAGCTTTTGAGATGTATTTTTAGACATGAAACTTTCTGGTAGTTCAGCTTTAGATTTTTGTTTTACTTCTTTTATTTAAGCTTTTTTATATTACAGTGCGTAATTTACTTTTTTTAGCATATTGCAAACAATATCTGTTTTGAAATGGGTCTTAGGTATGTGATAAATTAATATCTTCTGGCTAGCAATCCAGAATGGGCTCATATCTTAGTAGGAATGAGACAGGAAAAGTCTGAATGCAATGAGGGGAATGCCCAGCAGTCATTCAAGCATTCGTTGCATTCATTCAAGCTTCCTTGGAAACTAATTTTAATCCATGAAATTCAGGTTGCTTCACTCAAGTAATTAAGGGCTCATGATAACAAAGCTACTAAAAAGAAATTAAAAAAAAAAATCTGTAAGTGTGATGGGTAACTTTAGCCTAAAATTTAGGAACTTTTTCATGAAGAACAGAGATTGAAATCTGTTCTGTTTCTAGCTGTGATATGGAGTGCGTGTTCTAATTATGTAGACTTTAATTCAGAGTGATGATGGTGTATTGTAGGTTTTAAATCAGGTCTTCCTCACTTTGAGAGGTTATAGGAATTTATTTAGGTTTGTGGTAAATCTGCTTGATGATCTTATTTTCACTTCTATCAAATTTTGCACTCTAAAGGAAGGAATGGTGGGAACTTTGTGTTTCTTAGGCGTATTCTTATCTAGCTTCTTATATTGGCTTTTTGAGTTCGGGCAAATATGTCATGCTTGATGCTCATGTTGCTGCAAAGGTTGCTGCAAAGGTAACTTCTCTTTCTTTTCTATTAAAAAAAAGAGAGAATGGTAAAACCTTTAAACCTAAACTGTTAGTATGCTGGGAAGTAAAAGCAATCACATGCTTCCTAATTTTTTGTATGGTCAAATGGCAGTATAGTATAGTTTAAATTCCTGAAGTCTCCCTTCAAACAGCTCTGCCTTTGACACTTATCTTAGCTTTTGTGTATTCTTCATGTTTCTGGGTCTATGTACATATATGGATATTTTTTTACAGAAACTATTTGAGAAAATGGTCCTTCATCTTTTTTATGCTGCTGCAACTCTGACTGTGAATTCTCCTCCAGGTGCCCAGATTATCGATTTGATGATGCTTGTAATAGACGTGACAAAAGGGATGCAGACGCAGTCAGCAGAGTGCTTGGTAATTGGGCAAATTGCCTGCCAGAAGATGGTGGTAGTTCTGAACAAAATAGATCTCCTTCCAGAGGGCAAGAGGCAAAGTGCCATTGAGAAGATGACTAAAAAAATGCAGAAGACCTTGGAAAATACAAAGTAAGTTAACGGTAGAGTTCTTTGGTTTGTCCATGCTTCCCCTTAAACGTGCTTGCAAAAACACCTAATCTGTCCTTTGTTAGATGAAATACAAGCATAGAGACGTCCTGCAGAGATGATGAGGAAAGAGCAGAAAGATTGCCAGAAACTCAAATTCAATCCTGGAAAGTATTGTGGATAGAGAAATATTTTCCTATAATGAAGCTTTTCAGTTTAAAGAGCTGCTTTTAGTTCAGATTGTATAAAGCAAAGCCAGAATATCCAGGTGAAGGAGAACTTGTTCTTTAGTTTATGGGCTTGTAACTTCTGTTGTGATCTGGGATTCTTTTAACTCCAGAGAAAGGAAAACATTAGGGATTCTCCTTACCTGAGGATAAAAAGCGTGATTCATCTAACTAGGGAAAG